AAAACTGGGCCACGCTATTATACTAAGTATCATAAATAGGCATTGTATTCAGAATAGATTCTAAAGAGTTAAAACTGAAATTCTCAATTGTGATTTTAATAAGAAAAATATCCTCTTATCTAAAAGTAATGCCCATACATGGACACCTGAATCTTTGGATCAGGGTTAAAGTTGAACTACTGGAGCTTTTGTTTGTTTTTTTTTTTATACTTTTTGTTTTGTTTTGTTTTTTGTTTTTTGAGACAAGGTTTCTCTGTAGCTTTGGAGTCTGTCCTGGAACTAGCTCTTGTAGACCAGGCTGGCCTCGAACTCACAGAGATCCACTTGCCTCTGCCTTGGGATTAAAGGCCTGCACCACCACCACCTGGCTTCTTTTTTACTTTTTGAGACAGTATCTTGCTACACATTCCAGGCTGGTCTCAAACTTTTGGCAATCCTCCTGTCTCAGCCTATTGAAGGTTAAGATTACAGGTATGAAACCAAGCCTAAGCCTCAACGTGTCATGTTAGGTTCCACTCCATGTCTTCGAAGCTAGATAAAAGTTCACACACCAGTGTAAAGGAATGCAAGATTATTCTTTTCTTCTCATGTACATGCCCCCGAGATATTTGAAACATCCTTATAAATAAATTTTATAGCCATTGCAGAGGGTGAACACACAGCTTTGATTCTTTTGGGGAGGTGGGTAGGATCTCACTATGTAGGCCTAGCAGGCCTTGAACTCGCAAGGATCCATCTGCCTTTGTCTACTACATGCTGGGATTAAAGGTCTTAGCTAGCCATCATACCCAGCTTGTTTCTTACTTTCCACATTAAAATACAGCATGGCTATTACAACCACTTTGGAAGACAATTTGGCCATAGCTGTCAAAGTTAATCATAAACATACCCATTAACTAATAGTCACATCTCTAAGTTTATTTATGACAGAACTGCCAAAAGAGACGTAGAAGGTGTTCACAGGAGCATTACAGTAATAACAGTGATTCGGGACCCTGTACAACCTGCACCTCTCTATCCTAGGCTATGCCATCTGAGTTTGTACAATCAACTTCTTGACTTTGACTGGAGGTTTAAATTTAACAAAAGGAAAATCTAGAAAACACCAAATGTCCCTAAATAGAAAAAGGGCTAACTAATTACAGCTGAACCACATCATGTTCTATAGAACAATGAGAAAGAAGAACCCACAGGCACAACACAAAGACAAGGTCATGCCTCACAAACTTAGTGTTGAATGAGAGGAACAAGAGCCAAACACTGCAGACATGGACCTGATGACCCACATTTCAGACAGGTTTCAACACTTCTCTCCGCAATGCTCCCCCTCATCTGTTTATCAAGAATCAGTTCTTTCTTGCCACTAATGTGGTTCTGGAGGTCACTCTAGAGCTGTCAGGCTCAGTAGGAGGCACCTTTATTCAGTGAGCCATCTCCCCAGTCCTTAGACCCCACTTTTAAGTGAAAATCAGGGATATTTTTACATGGAAAAGGGCTTAAGTAGCTGTGAGTTCATAAGCAGCTTCCAGGGTACAGGAAACATTCTGTTCTGCGTATGAGTTGGGTTTGAGTTACAGAGGTGCTGAGTCTCTGAACATAATGCTTGTATAGACCATGTAGCTGTACTCAAAACCACTTCATTTCTAATGCAATTACAAAAGCCACAAGCCCAAAGGATTCCAGCAGTCAACAGTGAACAAAGTAGGGAACACAGGGTTCTGGACTTGCAGACCCGCCCGCTTTAGGTTAGCCTGACTCCAACAGGACAGTGTCTTTAGATCACAGAGAGATAAAAGCAACATGTCCCACCCCCAAGCTGGCTTGTTTTCCATTTCCTCTTTCTTTTTAAGCTGCAAATATTCCACAGCTTTCTTGTCTGTCAGGGTTATCAGGGGCTATTTCAGACCTCACCATCTCTCTGACACCTTAATGTGTGGCACCCACATCCAGAAATCCTGGTTGCCGGAGGAAGAGAAACACCATCTGAGAACACTTTGGGATCCCTGCACAAAACCTACCCCACACCTCTATATCCTGAGCTGTGCCATCTGAGTTTGTCGAATAAACTTCCCGACCTTGAAGGATTTTTAAATACAGCAGATGGGAGGCCTGTGGCTCAATCTACTTTTGTGAATTAAATTGGACACTTCCGAAACAAAGTTAATGTCCTGCAGCTGGCTGTCCCAGCTTGAAGGGCAGCTTTTGTAATGCTGTGGGAGAGGGAACCCTGTCGTATCAGATGTCTGGAAGTCAATCTGAACTGAGTGACTTTTGGAAACTGTTTTTGAGGTTGTTTCCCACCTACGTACAACCATTTTTATAAGCTGGTTAACCAGGAATCCAGCTGCAGGAATGTGTGGATGTTTCCTTGTGGCAGGAGTCCACGGCAGTGTCACTCCCTGGAGACCTTTTGGAGATGACTAGTTGGTGAGGATCTCTGAAACTGTCTGCACAGAATGAAGCTTGACAAAGCACTGTCCATCTTCCTGATGCCACACAGGGGAGTGAGGCTGGAGCGTGAGCTGAGTAAGAATAGGGAAGTGTGGGGTGCCACCGCAGGATAGGAACCACAATGTGCTCACTGAGCAAAGACCCCAGACTAGAGTGTAAGCTGGAAATCACCCAGCATCCTCACTTAGATGGAACTGATTATTACAGTGTTTATACAGGTTACAAGGTTAAAATGAGGCCTTCTGAAATACAATCAGTCTGAATGGGGGCTTAGTTCCCCATAATCCCTTCTATAATAAAACATTTGCACTATTTTTTATTTTGGTAATAACTTGTGGTCTTGTGCTGGGTAGTTTTATGTCAACTTGACACAAGCTAACTAAGGTCATCTGAGTAAAGGGAACCTCAATTTAAAAAAAAAACTGCCTCCATTAGAACTGGTTGTATGCAAACCTGTAGGGTATTTTCTTAGTTTGTGATTGATGGAGGAGGAGCCAGTCCATTGTGGGCAATACCATTCCTGGGCTGGTGGTCCTGGGTTTCATAAGAAAGCAGGCTGATAAACCAGGGGGAAAGAGTCAGTACTGACCTATCCATGACCTCTGCATCAGTTTCTGCCTCCAGGTTCCTGCTCTGTTTGAGCTCCTGTTCTGACTCCCTTCAATGATGAACAGTGATATTGAAGTGTAAGCCAAATAAACCCTTTCTACCCCAAGATGCTTTTGGTCATGGTGTTTTTATCACAGCAATAGTAACCCTAAACAAAACAGTCATCAAATAACCAAGCTTCCTTCACTAAATCTTCACAGCATACAACTTTTACTAATCCCTCTGGTTAGTGCAGGGGTTCACACCCCAGTAATCTTGGTACTGTGGAGGAGAGGCAAGAGGTTTGTGATCTCATCATGAGTTTGAGGCTAGCCTGGGCAACATAATGAGTACCAGGTCAGCCAAGGCTACAGAGCAAGACTATATCAAATGAATGAATGAAATATATATATATGTATACACACA